GTTAACAAATAATCTAAATAATTTGAATGTCAATAAGCAATCTTATTTTTTAACCCTAAGAATTTGTGCTATTATTATTATTATTAGCTGTGACATATCACTACAGTATGATATTACTGACAGTAGTAAACTAATTACGTCTCCTAACTCTTACGCAAACATATTATTGTGATAACATAACTGTTAAAGATGTGCTTTTTTGATTGACGAAATTTTAGAAGCAACCGTATTATGTCTTTTTATACATACTGTCAGTAGATGGATTTTATTGAAACAAAGTAGTTCAATTATTTAAAGTTCTTTCTCAACCTAATTCCTTGTCCTGGCCCACTGGTAAGGCTTTAAAGTTCTGTAAACATCATATTACAAAAATCTTAAAAATTTTGAATGCTGAAGTTTGTGTTCATCTTCAGTGTAATACAGAATAAAATGCTCATTAAAAGTTTATTCAGTAACATTAATATTACACAAAATAAGATGAATAAATGGGGAATGTAATAAAAAAAAATTATTTTAAAAAGTATTGAATGAAATCTGTTAAGCAAGACATAAGGAAGAACTAAATACAATTATATCGCATGAATGCAGCGTGGTAGGTTGTCCGACATTTTTACAGTTATAAAAGCTTAATAAACAAAAAAAAAAAAAAAAAACATACAAAAAAAAAACACAAAAACAAGAAAAAAACAAAACAAAAATACATGATTAAATGCCACTAAAGCACCAAAGAACGCCTTTAAAAAAAAGTAACAAGAAAAACCGACCATATCATATATACAACAAGAGATTTGTGCGAAAGCTATAAAAAGATGAATGCCAATGTTCGATGACATATTTTCGAGAAATATTAAGATTAAAAATAAGACTAAACATATTATCTAACCTTTTAAATTTAAAAATCTCAGCCAAAAACTCTATTTTTACGTGAAGGGCATAATAAAATTTTGGATTTCAACTTTTCGAAGAAATCTGTAGAAGAGTCATTGATAATTAGACCGATTATTATATTATTATAAGGTCGGTAAGCAATGAATTTGAGAAATTAAAGGGTAAGATAAAATAAAAAACTGACTGAATAAAATCACAGTCGGACATTGTGATCTTTTCAGTTTGACTATGTACACATTGAGGCATTAACCAGTCGACTTATAATAATATGAAATTCAAAAATAAGTCATTCAAAATATCGAAAATGATTTGAAAGGAGAAAAATATGCATCACTGAGAAGACACGAAATATAAAATCAAGCTTCCAACAAAGATTCATGTTAAAGGAAACAAGAAATTTGAGAAGTGGAAAGAAGGAAAATTTTTTAAATTAAAAAGGAAGATGGGAAAAACAATTCCATTGGAAAATTATCTCCGATTTATTTTGTCACAGCTATCATATTCTGATATATAATGAAAAATAAGAAAATGAAAATAAGAAGGATAAAAAGCATCTTTTTCCATTATAGCGTTGGACGAATTAATTTGATAGTGGCCACCACCTGATTGATAAAATAAAACGAAGGATCAGTTTTGCATAAGATATTTACAATAATTCCAAAAAAAAGAAAAAAAAAACTATACACATCCCTGAGGTTCTTATAATCTAGTAGTATCCAAAAAGAATGAAAAACACAATAAAACAATACCTGAGTAGGTAAATAAAAAAGAACAAAATTTACAAAAACTTCCCTGAAATACATGTGAATTAATTAGACTAAAATTTAAAAACTTTTCAAAAAAAAATATTAGTGACAAGAAAATCACTGAACATACAACATGACTGCAGGTTTATCACAAATTATGAAATTCTACGACTTCCAAAAAAAAAAAAAAACGCAATGAAGGATTGCTAACAACGAATCAGTTGATAATTATATTTCTAAACACTGTGTTCTTTTAGTTGTTTTCTCAAAATTGAAAAAAGCGATCAAAACGCAGAGTATTTAGTATTTTTCGACTACTAGAAAAAAGCTAAATTTCAATACAGTAAGACAGAACTCGAGATTCTGTAGCAAAATGGACCATCCAAACCAATGTTATCAAATATTATTCAATAATAAAACGTCTTGAAAAGTAGTGAAATTTCAAAATGCTCCTATCATTGCGTTTTTAATGGACAAAGAGCCAACCTGCTCCACATGTAATTAATATATCGCAAGAATCCCATTGCCAACTAGGCCCAATTACCAAGCCATATAGAAATAGATACCAATGGTACCACACACCTTCCTTAAGTGCGTCTTTGAACATACGTCGTAATAATGTCCATACGTTCACGAGCATATTTCGCCATCTGATCTACGGTATATCCAGTGTAAAAGATTCCCAGCCCGATTAATCCAAGGACCGTTAATGTAGTATAGTAACGTGAGAACCGCTTGCAGTGAACAGAGAAACGTTGCTTAAGCTTTATTCCTTTGACCTTCAAGTTGCTCACATTCATCGGTTTCAGTAGACGCATTGTTAGCGGACGATGCCGTACTCCTTTACCCGAAAATGGAAAGATCTTAACATCCGAGTCATTTTTCGAACCGCGGTATAAAGGAACAACTTTTTTGACGTCCGCTGTTGAATCGTCGAATTTCTTGACTACTGGAGAAACAGCCTTCTTTTTTGAAGACGAACGACCACGAGAATTTGAACGTGAACGCGGTGTACCATGGGTACTACGACTACGACTACGAGAACGTGAAGTTTTCCGTGTTCGAGTTCGTATCAGACTGGAATCCTTACTCCGCGGACTTTTACTGGGTGATTTTTTGTTAGATGACGACCGCTGTTTCGGTGATTTTGCCATTTCTTTTCTGCCCTGTAAATTAAGGAATTTGAAATCCTTGGTGTATGAATAAAAACGATTTCCGTATATTAAGACGCTATCATATCTAAAATAGAGGCTTCGGAAATTGATCAAGACTGTCTTATTAATCAACATTCACTTATAAAACAGAATTAACCATATTTGTTCAGTGTTGCCCACAATGTCTCAATAAAAGTGACAACAGTCAATAGAGAGATCATTCGGAAATAAATCGAAATTAAAACAAAATTTATCATTGTTTATGTTATGAAAAGAATAATATACTTTAAAAAAAAACTTTTCATTCAATAAAAAAAAACTCATTCAGCTGACAAAAGAAATAATTCATATACTTGAAAAATAATCAAGTACAGGAGATTAAAAATCAGATTTAAGACGTATCAGTGCTGAACACTGCTGTGTAAAAAATTCAGTTGAATCTTCAGTTAGCACTGATTTTTCTGCGGTTCTGTGGCGAGCTAAAGTGACACGAACTATTGAATGATTATTTAAACAGTGTAAGAACAAGAGATTCAGTCTTCAAATACCACTGGTATAATATCAAATTCTGATTAAAACTGTCATTTAATTCACTGCTTCTAATATCCATCAAATTAATAAATATAATGTAATTGGTATTTTTAAGTAGAGAGATAAAAAGCAGGTCAGGGACAGAGCTGGTATCCAGAAAAGGTTCAGAAATCCGAAAATCCGATTGAGAAAAAAACCATCACACCATAGCAATTACAAAATTATTCATCGAGCAAATGACAAATTCATAATTATGCAGAATCAGCATTTGATATTTTCGGCATACAAAGATAGCACCGATGACAATAAACTGGAACCGTAAAACATACTTCATCACGTGATTTTTACAATGATTGGCTTCGGAAAACAAGTAACAAGATAATTTATGGTTCTAGAAGAATCAAAAGGACTTGTTCTAATTTCTTGATTCTTGACTGCTTTCTGACATAATATCAGACTGAGTAAAAATATATCAGACTGAGTAAATAGTAGACAAACAATTATTAGTGCCCAGAATTGTAAATTTTCGGTCTCAGCAAAGCAAAAATTGACTTCTGCTTCTACTTAACTAAGAAGATCAGAAAATAAATTGCTTTTTCTCTTCTAACAACGAATTTTAAAGAAAAGTGTTTCAATTGTGAAGTAGTTGAATTTTATGCCTTCAAAAAGTGGATTATGTTCGCCTTAGTCGAACAAAATTTGCATACAAGAGTAAGACATTTAGAAATCGATAGAAAAAGAAAGGAAATAAAAAGTGGGAGCAAGTGTGCGGGTCATCCAGCGAGTGGACAAAGGTTAAACCTCATAAGAATTAGGACAAGGACTGACGAGAGAGGGACAAACCTCAATGACAGTAATGCACTAATAATAGCAACGATGATAATAATAGCAGTAGCAGAAAAGTCTCTTCTGCTAATGGCAATACAGCAAAGAATAATCAATGGACATGGCACCATCTGTTATTCGTTCTGATACAGGAAGATGGACATTAGATGGACGAAGAGAGAAGAGAGAGAGAGACGCTGAAGTTGACCTTGTGTAGTGACTGAAGTTGTTGCACTGACAGCCCCCATTTGAATATTAATAAGACGAATGAGCGAGTAACACCGCCCAGATGACCGCTTGGCAATCACCAATCAGCATAACAGTGACCAGATGATGCTTTCGACCCCACAAAGAGGGACTGACTTCTTTTCCAAGCTTTTCCATATATATATATATATATATATAACAGCATCAATATTAATTAAGGCTGCTCACAATACTCATTTCAAATATTAACAACTAGATTGAGAAGCGTGATAACGTGTCATTGATAAAGGGAAGCTTTAATAGCGTGCACAACGATTCTAAGCCAACGTGTAAACACACAAATAAAGACGTTATAGAATTTGCAGAATGAAATGATGAAAAGTGAGGTGATAAAAAACAGTTAATAGAAAACGAATAGATTTTCTCATATACAACGTAATACAAATAGATAGACACATAGGTTTTTTGAAATATATGTTATTATTTCCGACAAACATTAACTTTGAAATAAATAAATAGAAGACATGAGTTACGGTTCGTAGAGAACATTTCTTCTGTAGAAGCATTCCAGTTTTTCGCATTTTTTGCATCCTTCTGATACCTGTGTTGGGATGAGTTAGTTAAGGAACTAACCAATAGAGGGTGATAAATGCGGAGTAGTCTTCCTGCTACTGTGCCTCACTACCTATTGTACCTTGCCATTCCACGACCAAAATTGTCGAAACCCCTCAAACGAACCTTACTTGCTCAGAGTGTTTGGATACAACGCAGCGTTTCGCGGGCTGCGTTAATTAAAGGCATATGTCAGATGATGGTTTGTCGCGATATGCTATTCATTTTCGTGCACATTTGTTTTCGTGGACGTCGGTAGTGGCGATGATAATGAAGAGGGATACGGTTAGGTGGGTACACCGATTTGACTAGCGGTGACTTGTCTTTGTGGGGAAAGAGATTATGGATTGCACTTTTTGTTTCCTTGGAATTAAAGTTGGTTATTTAGAGACTGATTAACGTGATCCTAGACATGTTTTATGGGATTCTCCTGCATTTTCTAAATCAGTTCTTTCGTGTTGCTTCTTTTTTCTGGTGTAATGGTGCATCTGATTGAATTCAGTTTATCAGGTGTTACATTGGAACGTATGCTCTGTCTTATTAAAGATTTTGGTAATGGAAACAGCATCAGTACCGTCTCGAATAGTTCTCATGGGAACTTCAAAAATATCCTTGAATGAAAGGTCAGTTTGTTATCGGTAACATTTACACGACTCTTTCTCTGGAGATTCTTGAATGAACTCCATCGTGATGGAGGTGTTTTACAAAAGTAAAACAAAGTTTAGCATATTAAAATCTTTAACAGTGTTGCTTAAAAAAATTACTTGTAGCTTTGATTTGAATATATTCTTTTACAGATCTGGAAGTTGCTAGAAATGATGAATTGATAGATTATAGCCGTGTTCTTGTAATCATTGTTCATGGAATTTAAGTTTTTGGATAAGACCTCTTCATACATCTTCATGTTGTATTGGGTGGAAAAAAAGCAAATGTAAAGTACTGAATAATAGTTCTCTTAATTAAGAACTGCACGTAAATGAATTCTCTTATTCTACGCTTCCGAGTAATTGTTACTTATTTTGCTACGGCACGCAGGTTTTCTCAAATTCCGGTGCCTAAATTACGACATAGTGTTGCCCCAATAAGAAGTTACAACAATATCGAACAGAGCTATCGTGAACCGATTTTAAATCGGCGTCCATTGTATATCGATGATGTCGAAGTGAGTTAAATTTTTTGTCGCAATAAATATGTTCTCAAACATATTAGCTTTTTTTTCTATTTGTATTTTTGAATTTTGTATGTGGAAGTTGCTAGAAATGATGAATTGATTTCATTCATAATAGATTACAGCGTGTCCTTGTAATCACTGTTCATGGAATAAAGATGGCATGGAAGCTGAATTGAAATATGTTTTTCTTTCAAAATAGTTTTAATCATTACAGTGTTAAAAGGAATTCTTCATAAAGACTTTCACAAAGACTTTCTAATTTTTATGCTAACTTTTTCCTTCTAGAACAATCTTCTTAGGTTGGGGAAATGAGGGATCATTTTTTTTCCACCAGAATACCCTTTTTATAACTTTCAATGTTGCTACAGTATGTTCAATCCTACAGGTTTCTTGTTTCCATATCCTGTTGGACCACCTTAATGCTTAATTATTAGCAGATTCGAGCCGTAGTTTTCTTATTCATGTTCAGAGTAGACATTTCTTTAAGTTTGTTTCTCATGTGCAAGAGGTTTCAGTTGTCAAATGATTATGATGAAATTGGAGAGGATAACATAGAGGCCGCGACGAATTATGTTGAACAAGTCCGCGTTATACCAAAACGCAAGTTGGGAGTTTATCCGAGCTCTCGTTTCGCTCGTATTCCAGTTCGTAATCGTATCACTTTTCCGCATTGGCGTAATAGATTTAACTATGGTCTTGTGCGCAAGGTCAACGTTGATAGGTATGTAATTTGGTAACCGAAATAGAAGCTGTCAGTGTAGTGATCAAGCGGGTTAGCTAAGGAAGGAAAGCACTGGTGCAGTCGGAAGGGCTGCTTTGGATAATAGGATATGTTTGTTTTGGTAAATTGTTTCTGTGTTACACATATTGATTTTAGGCCTCGTCCTTTCGGTTCATTGCGATATGCTAGCAGAAACACGCGTTTTGCGCGTAATGGTTTCAGCCGCACACTTTGGCGTCCGAATACTGTTCTACCACGGAACCATGCTTTTTATGGTCGAGGTGGTCGTTTTTTTAGTGGCAGTTTATCCAGTAGTAATTCCAGCCGTACCAAGCGGTCAGTTGTAACAAGAGAGGAACTGGATAAGGAACTCGATGAATACATGAAAAAAGGAAAACATCCACAGATTGACGTTTCTGATCTCAAATAAGTTTTTCTGTGCTTGTTATTTACTTTTCATCAATTTTTCTCTGATTAACTAGCAGTTCTAAGTTTTCGTGATTTTTAGGACTCCACTTAAAATTTTTAGTTTTTTATCTGAAAAATGGACTTGTTTGTGAGCAGTAATTCCAGCAACTCAACAGAGTCGAGATTTGAAGAGATTTGGGTTCACTTTTTTATATATTTGTAACTTTTGTTGGATTTTGAACTTTTTGGGTGCTTTGACAAATACCACATCCATTGAGATAAAATTATTTGGGCTCTAACAGTAAGAAGCATTTTAATTTGTTCGTTTGAATCAAATCAATATAGCTTACTTCTTGATATCGGGCACCGCGTATGCGGTCGAATTCTCCGAATTTTCTAAATTTCAGTAGGCGTGGAAAACATGATTTTATATGATTTCAAATTGGGAGAATGAACCAATTAGTCTTGCACTTAGCACCCCATTTCCACTCTCTCCCGATCGGCTAAGTTTGATTTTTAAGGAAATACTGTTGAAATCGATTACTGATTTAGGCCAAGTAAATTCAAGCTCTCATGTTGTCAAGCTAACAGCAGAAGATTTGCTGTGCGAATAAATGGACCATTCGGGTGATAATATTTCAGATTTTTAACAACTGAATAATTGATCTTTTACTTTCGATGAAATATCTTTCGTTGCTTCCATTACCCTCACATTGTTATTGCTGTTGTTTTTTTATTTTTATTTGAAGAAATTCTAGTTTATAGCTGGGATTTGTTTTCTTCGGCGTTATCAGTGCGGTTTTTTGATTTGTAATGAAGTTTTGCTTTTAAAACGGAGGACATTGCACTACAAGCGAAAAACTTTGCAAAATTGAATCATTTTCATTGTCAAACACAGCGAATTTGCATTACTTGCATTTTTCACAAATTTTCCCTTACCATGTTCGACTGGTCATACATCGCAATATACATGTTTCGAGGTGAATGTTGGTGCACATATCTATTACCTGACAATCATGTTTCTCCCTCTAATATGATCTTTACGTTTAGCGACCAATTCATTGTTATTTTTGGTTTGCTTCAATTTTTTTGAGGTATTATTTATTATCATTTTTTGTATTATTTTATGCTGCATAGTTCTGATATTGATCTCAACAATGGGAGGAGAAAAAATGTTTAATTCTGTTTTTGTAAAAATTTTGGGATGGAGCAATCGAAAATCTGATGGTATGGCGTGGGAAAGGCGACAAGTTTCAAAAAGAAATGCCAGGTAAGAAAAAACTTCATATGAAAAACAACGGAAGAAATGAACTTCAAAATACACATACACTCAGGCAAAGGCCTTTAATACATCACTCAGCAAAGGGGTATTGGCAGCTGCTGGAGTGATGCTGGTTAACAGTGGTGGTGGTGATTGTGTTTTAAGCAAAACTAGCGGTCGTAACATCACGAGTGTCCGCAACAACGGTAATTCGACTAGGGGAATGTGAGCTTATCGCTTTTTAATCTATTAATTTTTTCATCCCCAAACCTTTTGTTGAGACTTCTGTTACTGATCAAGGTTTCCTCATCCCTCTCCCCCTCTCTCTGAGAGAAAGTTGTACAAATGAAATTTGGAAATCAAAATTATTAATTTTGTTCGTGAAGGAATTCGTTTAATCTGAAAAGATTCATTCCATTCTAGCAAGGGAATTTAGATGAATTAAGTTTGTTTCATGGCGAGTTGTTCTCGGAATATGTCAAAAGGTGTTCAAGTGTCCGCAATAATTCAAAACAGTGTATAATCTCGATTAGTTACTTTGAATTAGGTCTTATGAATGCTAAATAATCAGTCCCTGAACCTCCGGACACATTCGGTTTGCATTATGTAAGATGTATGGGGAATTAGCCTAACAATTTTGCTCTTTCCGTTTAGCTCTACAACTATACATATTGTAACAAAATATAAAAACGGAGTAAGTACAGTTAAATAGTTAAATACTATTAGAAATCACAAGTAATACTGTTCGGTTTTATAGTTCAGAAGTTGAGACAATCGGAAATATGCAAATATAAAGTGTATCTGTATGTGATTATAATGAAGTGGAACCCGTGAGTATTTGCAAGCATCATTAGGTGATCTATTCTCAAAACGCCTGTTCTGTTTTGTAATTTGAGCGATTTCAGAAATAAATTTTATGGTTTAGTAGATAATCTGATAAATTTCGACTTCTTTGCAATAAAATTTCACTTCATGCTTTTGGAGATTGCGATCTAAAAGCGAACGCACGTCACCAACACAGCGACGAAGAATCAAGAAAAATGTGCGATTTTCGGACTGCTTTGATTTGGAACAAGCGGAATACGCTATCAATACGCAAGTGGAAAAGGGCAGTGAAAAATACACGCATTTAACTGTAAGCAATGGGCCTTGTAGTTCTGGTTAGTACTTTTCTGCTTTACTATTACAGATGCTTTAAAAAATGCACGACTTCTCCTTTTTTTTGAAAAAAACTTTAAAAAAAAAAACTTTTTTCCGCCCCCTCATATGCAACTGTTTGATTGCTTTCATCATTGTTGATATGTGAACAATCCATAAGAGCTAAAAAAGTTGGAAAATTAGGTTTGAGTGTGAACAATGATTGTTACAACAAAGAAGCACTGATAATATTTGAAAATTACGTAAACAGTGAAACAAATTATCATTCGATGCAACAGAAGAAGCCTGGCAAAAGTCCCAACTGCCAGGGGCATCTAAGAAAAATAATCCAACTAACACTGATGTAGAGACAACAAGTATTACGGGTTCCAGTCATTTGTCATTAATTTCTTTTTTTTTTGTGTGTGTGTGTTTTCCAGAAAGAAAAAAGAAAGTGAGACTTTTGATTGATTTTTTGAAACTCTTTGAAAAGTAGAACAAATTTTAAAATAATCAATAATCTCGTAGGAAAAAAAGAACATTTATAAATGAGGTTTCTTT